GTATGAATAAGTCAATAAGTAATTTATTCTATTGAAATACCATTGATGTATTATAGAAGTGATTTATCTTTTTATAAATGACAAAAGGCATATCTGCCTAATTTTTGCTGTGGTATCGTGATACTACTCGGAACCGTGATACTGTCACTGGTATTGTACCGTGGGTCCCAATTTTGGTATCGTGACAACACTACTACATAGTAGTGTCTACTTGATTTGTATCTGTGCTGTTTAGATTAATATGACAGATATTTTTTGTTTTTTGATAGTGTATATTGCACTAGTAGTTTAATACTGTCTTGGAATTTAATAAATATTGACAATCAATTTGAAACCCTTACAGTTGCATATTTGTTTTCAGGATGGGATTTTTCCTGTTAACAGGATTCCCTGCTTTTCTGACATCCTTTTCTGACCTTATACTTACCTAAAGCTGACTTTTGGGACATACATGCATGCATACATACGTACACATCAAACTTAAAATCAACAATAATGATAATAATATTAAAGCAAACAGAGCACTGGTATCGGAATAGTATCTGTATCGGCAGATATCCAAATTCAGGTATCGGGATCGGATCGGAAGTGGAAAAAAATGTGGATTGGTGCATCCCTAGATCTGAGCAGCTAAGTGCCGCTAGCTCGAGCGATTGGCCGACAGGCAGCAATCTGAACTGCATTTATTAGCTAAGATGTGTGGCTGTACTCGGAGTTTGATTGTGAATCGGCTTTTATCATACGTTTTATGGAAAATGTACGACGTGTTTGTTTACTTGAAGCTCTGGTACATGGAGGCTGTTCACAATATCGTTACTAAACATTGTAGTTAGCCTGAGTTATACAGCTGCGGAGGTATTTATGTGATGAAAGGACCTTGTGTGTGTGTGTCTGTCTCTACATGTGTTTTAATACGTATGTTTGGTCTACTGATTTTACAGGGAGGGGACAACACTGTTTAGCGTTTTAGATGTTGACTATAGATGGGTACTGAAATCCGGTACTAAATTAGCCCCAGGGCTAAATTATGAAAGAGCGTAGCATTTATAACCTCTGACAGTATGTTCTTTTATCGGTACTTTACACATTGTGGTTTAATTCATCATCATCCTGCAGCCTCTCATATGCGCTCTGTGCCTGGGGTGAACAGCTCCACATGCACACGCCTACACGCCTACACACTAGTGTTGTCACGATACCAAAATCTTTGTTTCGGTGCCAATACCAATATGAATTTCGATAATTTTCGATACTCTTCGGTACTTTTCCTAAGGAAAAGTCCTTTTGGATACAAACCTTTAGAACAATAAATAGTAGGGGTTTAACGGTACCAAAAAAATCATGGTTCGGTAAGTACCTCGGTACGGACGTCACGGTTTGGTAACTCAAATGTTCCACCAAGTTGGTGTTGTCTCGTGTTATCTCCCTTTGCGAGGCAGACACTCTCTTGTCTTTTTTCACGTGCGCCAGCTGCGAATGTTGATACAGGTGTTGTCATACACACCACTTGCTCCAATAGGAACAAGAAAGGTGTTTATGTGCATAAATGAGTAAAATAAAATAACTAAATTAATGAACTGAATCAATTTCAAAGTACCGGTATTTTACAAATGCAGTATAGTACCGTTTGGAATACTCTAGTACCGCGGTACTATTTTAGTACCGGTATACCGTGCAACACTACTACACACCTACACGACACTGTAATCTGTGAACAGCTGTGCGGTCACAGTGGAAACAAAGTGAAGATAACTCAAAAGTTGCTCGATTTGATGGCAGCTACACTCGTTATTGTAAGTGTAATTAAACCTTAGCGAGTAAGAAGCCAATAATTTATCAATACATGTGTTCAGCAAGCGTAAACATGTAGACAGCGCGATATTCAATATGCTCTGTCCACAGTCTCTCATCCACTGTCACTAACCTTATGTCTTACACGCTGATTTAGACAGCATGCTAGTACGGCTGACAGTGAATTGTTACTAATAAGCTCAAATGACAGCTGTCTGTATGTAGACTAACTTAGTTTGACACTTATCGGAAAACTTGGGCAGATACTTTTAAACTTAGCTGCTGGCTGAGACAAACAGCCACTCTTATCTCTACCAGCACTAATGTTACCTGCACGCAGTGAGTCACATCAGCAGAGAGGGAGCAGGACAGAGGAGAGGAGGACAGCATAACTGACTTACCGTGACTAATAAAAACTTCACTCAGTATTGTGAAGTCAGGAATATTATTTATATAGTGACTTTGCTGTTGTAAAAATTACTGTTGCTGCTCTGGAAACATTTAGTTATATTCAAAATATTCAGTTATCCTGTTCTGAATTTATTCTTTTTAAATGAATATATTTTCTAAAAAGCAATTATTTAGAAATGAGAGAACCGCTAAGAGTACCGATAAAGTACCAAATCAATAAGGAGTATCTAACAGTAGTAGTATCAATAAAATCTTAACGATACCCATCTCTAATGTTGACTGTGTTATGATGTTGGAGTAGGAAAAAAAATTAATTGTATATATGTCTATATAGACACGCATACATACACATATTTTCTTTCATTTGGATTTTCGGATGTCATCAACACCTATGAAGGGCCTAGGTTTCAAACCAAGTATGAGACCTCGTATTGAGTTGGAGGAGAAAGAGGGAGACACTTAAACAGAGCAGGTAGACTCTCATGACTTAACATGTACCCCTGGCGACTCTGTTATTACAGAGGAATGAGCAAAAAGGTATTCTTTTAGTTTAGTTTTGACCTCAGCAAAGGCTGTAAAACAGACCCTATATGCAGTAATTTGTAAATAATCTTATTTTTATTACCAACATAATACCATCAGATAAAAGAGATGAAATAGTTGTGGCAACACTTGAAATATATACAAGAAAGGTGGATTCAGGGAAGCACTTCATGTAAAAACACAAGGAACTCACTATTTGAATTCAATATTTTACAGACTGTAGATGACCTGATGAGGCTCATCTTCCCCAAAATCCCCATCCCAAAGGACCTGGCATCCCAGTATGAGAGACCCTCAGGGGTAGCTGGAGGCCAACGCAGTGACCAGCCAGATCAGAAAACTCCTGGCATGTCCAACACAGGGATGGATGCCTGAATGGAAAGAAAGAAAAAAGATGAAACGCTGCTGTGTTTATATTTATGTATCTATTATATATTATTTAGTACGTTTTTTTTTGTATTTTTTTTGTTTTTTTACATTTGCTAAAAATAAAGTTCTTTTGACAAAAGACTTACTTGTCCTTTCTTTATAAGTGTGTTTTTTGATATAATGAAACCTTAGTGTTTAGAATTGAGTTTACACAGTTGTATTTCATTGCATGTCATAAAAATGTATTCTTCTTCAGTTCTGTGCCCAAGGGTCCATAGTCATATCTGTAAATGTTGTAAATGTTCTGTGGGGTGTACAAACAGTCAGGCTCCAGGCCTGGATGGTGTATCAAACATGTAGGATGAACTGGAATCTGGTCCATTACCCCAAAACCTAATAGGTAAAAAAGACACAAGACACTGTTTAAGTAAGCAAATAAAGTCTCAGGAGACAACATCACTGCATAGAACAAATATTGATCCAGGAAGCAAAATGTGTTTTAATATGAAACTTTGATTTTATATAAATGATGTGGAGAAACTGTGATACACTGGTACATTGTACATATTGTAGATTACAAACACAAGGTGAAGATGATTATAAAATGCAGCTACATTTTAGTAGTGGTTTCAGTAAACATGACAGCTAAGACATCTGAATGTACTAGTTATTTCTATTACGTTTTTGTATAATACAGAAATCTGTCATCTCAATCTGCTGTGGTAAAATTGATAAATTCACAGGTTAAAACTTTTGTAGTTTGAACGGGTAATGCGTTAATAGCAGAATTTATAATAACTTTGGTATTATTACCCAATACAAGCTACGCTGGTCTGATCATAGATAAGCCTGCTTAGATAAAAAAAAAAAAAGTAGTTACACCACAGCTTTACACCAGGTCATATAACTGCTGAGTGCTGCTGTTGGTGTTATCACGTTATGTAGTAATTGACTATATTGTTAGAAACCTTTTGTACTCTGCAGCAGATGTTTCCAACTTCATTCAGTCAGAGGACTGACCTACAGTTGTTACCATAACATCAGATAAATTACAGTTATCATGTTGCAGCTGAAATAAAAGATGGCTACAAAATAAATACTTGCCACTGTAAAACGTCCTGCTCCAGTCTTAGTTGCGAAAGTGCTTTGGAGTCTATCGGTTCGTGTTTCTTCACTCCAATTGATAATGGCGGGCGGCCACGGTCATTAGCTTAGTCTCAGCTGTTGTTGTCTGTGCCAGCCTCCGGAGGTGAATTCAGATAAGGTAAGGGGCGTGATGTTTCCAGTACACGCTCTTAGCGTTGCACCAATCACAACAGACAAGAGTGAGCTGAGCAATCAGAGCAGACTGGGCTGCTGGGGAGGTAGGACATAAGCCCAAACACAGCCATTCAGACAGAGGTGCTGCAGCAATGATCAGTACAAGACAAATAATGTGTGCTTTGAACATTGAAGCATATAAATCTATTACTCTAGACCCCAATATTACATATTTATATCAATATGACCCTGAAAATAAGCATAATAGGTCTCCTTTAATAATGGCCATACTTATCTTTTTTTGTCAAATGGTTGGACTGCCACATATTCACATTTATAAAAAACAAAACATACACAGGAATAAGGGAGAATACTTGGATGATCTGAGTCATACAGGGGGTCTAAATCTGCCTTATTTTCAATGTAATGATTGCCCGTCTTATTTATGGGTGTTTTCTGCTTACCGTTTAATTCATGCGTCTCTTTCTATCCATTAGCGTCTTCATTTATTCTACTTATTTTCTGACATTTGAAAGACTTACTGTGAAGCACTTCAGTAAACTGACACAAATACATTTCTTAAGTTTATGATGTGAACATGTTCACACAAAAAAAGCATTGCAAACCTTAATTGCCTTCTGACGATTCATTTCATGCTCTGCATTGTTGTGGCAGTTGGAGCAGTCACAGTTGCTGCACATCACTCCACTGGCAAAACACTCACAGTAGCTGAAATAGACAAACACACAAAAATCCATATGAAACTACATCAAATAACATATAAGGTACAAGGACAAGGATGCCCACTCTCACCATCCCCATTTGCTGTTTTTATAGGATCACTCGCAGCAGCAGTACAACAAAACAATAAATTTGAAGGAATTCGGGGTGCCAGTTCACAACATCAAATTAGTCTTTACGCAAATGATTCATTATTACATTTACAGAACCCTACCATGTCACTACAGGAAACCTTCAATATCATTAAGTCTTCACAATCTCTCACTACACAATTAATTAGACAAAAATCCACTTTATTAACACTGTCTGAGGACACTTGGGATTCTGCAACTCATGATTCCCCCCTCCCACTTCACTCTGGCTGGCAACATAAAATGTTGGCCATTGACATTTTTCCTGGGCTGTCAGAGGTCCTGGACCTCAATTACACCCCTTTGCAAAAAAAAGAAAGAAAGAAAAACAACTAGTATTACTGCCACACGGTTGTATGCCTCCACGCACCAGTCAAGTTGCAGTTACAGTTTACATCCATGTTTATAAAAACATGCTTCCCACTAGGGCTGTCAACAAATATTCTAAATTCGAATTTGAACAAAAAATGGACCTTCGAATGTGAAAACTGATATTCGATTGTGGAGAAAAAAAAACACCACCGCAGCTGTCCTCTTTGAGAGTGGGCGTTGGCCTGGGCCGCTGCACTGAACGCACTGCATAAGGCCACACCGCCCGCGGAAGTGCTACGAAGCGCAGTGCACCGAAATTCTTGCGCGAGCCAGAGCACTTACGTTCACATCAGACGCGCATTTCTCCATGCTGGTTGACAAGCGGTTCTGCACCCAGCTGTTGTCTCCGTCACCCAGGTTGGCACATTCACACCCAAGATTAGTGTCACCGATTCAATATCTGACCACATGTCTCCCCTTCTGTTCCTGAGACATTGAGTCATGGCCAGAAAAATGTTTTTACAGAACATTATGTTGCCACAGTGAAGCTGACCTTTGACTTTTTGAGTATAAAATGTCATCAGTGTTTCTCCTATCATTATATTAGAGGGGCGCCCCGTCCCCCCAACGGCAACCCCAAAGGCCGAGGACCCTATTGTTTTTGGTACGTTTATTATTATTATTATTATTATTATTACTATTATTATTATTATTATTATTATTATTATTTATTCTTTTTTCATTCTTCCGCTGTCTGTTTGAACCCCAATTTGACCCCCTAAACATGCTCAAAAACTCACCAAAATTGGCACTTATGTCAGGACTGGCGAAAAATTTGATAAGATGAAAAAGTGAGTGTCAAAAAAGTGCCAAAATGGGCTTTCTAGTGCCACCTAGACACAATAAAATGGCCGCTGCGGACCGTAGGAATGTCGTAGAAAGATCAAACCAAAACTGGCTTGTTCGTCTCATCGAGACCTAAAAACCACACACTGACACCCCTGACCTAAATCCAACAGGAAGTGAGCTAGTGCCTCTGATAATAACATGAGTAAATGTGGAGAAATTGTCAGCTGTGAGCTAGACATCTTAAACTTGCGACCAAGATCGCATTTTTTGACTCTACAAACATAAAAACCAATATGTCTGCGTTCGGGACGAGTGTATCTCTCTGCTGGTATGCTCAGATTGACGATTGGACCCACGGTTTGGGAATAAAAGGGAGGAGTTCAAGACATTTTAAAGCCATCTCCATCTGCCTGGTCTCACACAGCTTGTCTCTCCCTCTCAGTGACAGACTCAGGATGTTTGAAGGGCAGGGTTGAAAAGGAAAAAAGGGCACCTACTGCATGACATGGGGCCCCATTGGTGTGCAAAAAAACATGCTACACATGCTCAAAAACTCACGAAAATTGGCACACATGTCAAGACTGGCGACAAATTTGATAAAATGAAAAAATGAACCCTAAAAGTGCCAAAATGGGCTCTCTAGCACCACCTAGACACACTAAAATAGCCACTGCGGCTCATAGGAATGTCGTAGAAAGATCAAACAAAACTGGCTTGTTCGTCTCATCAAGACCTACAAATCACTGACACCCCTGACCTAAATCCAACAGGAAGTGAGCTAGTGCCTCTGATAATAACATGAGTAAATGTGGAGAAATTGTCAGCTGTGAGCTAGACATCTTAAACTTGCGACCAAGATCGCATTTTTTGACTCTACAAACATAAAAACCAATATGTCTGCGTTCGGGACGAGTGTATCTCTCTGCTGGTATGCTCAGATTGACGATTGGACCCACGGTTTGGGAATAAAAGGGAGGAGTTCAAGACATTTTAAAGCCATCTCCATCTGCCTGGTCTCACACAGCTTGTCTCTCCCTCTCAGTGACAGACTCAGGATGTTTGAAGAGCAGGGTTGAAAAGGAAAAAAGGGCACCTACTGCATGACATGGGGCCCCATTGGTGTGCAAAAAAACAAGATTTGACCCCCTACACATGCTCAAAAACTCACCAAAATTGGCACACATGTCAAGACTGGCGAAAAATTTGATAAAATGAAAAAATGAACCCCAAAAGTGCCAAAATGAGCTCTCTAGCACCACCTAGACACACTAAAATAGCCACTGCGGCTCATAGGAATGTCGTAGAAAGATCAAACAAAACTGGCTTGTTCGTCTCATCAAGACCTACAAATCACTGACACCCCTGACCTAAATCCAACAGGAAGTGAGCTAGTGCCTCTGATAATAACATGAGTAAATGTGGAGAAATTGTCAGCTGTGAGCTAGACATCTTAAACTTGCGACCAAGATCGCATTTTTTGACTCTACAAACATAAAAACCAATATGTCTGCGTTCGGGACGAGTGTATCTCTCTGCTGGTATGCTCAGATTGACGATTGGACCCACGGTTTGGGAATAAAAGGGAGGAGTTCAAGACATTTTAAAGCCATCTCCATCTGCCTGGTCTCACACAGCTTGTCTCTCCCTCTCAGTGACAGACTCAGGATGTTTGAAGAGCAGGGTTGAAAAGGAAAAAAGGGCACCTACTGCATGACATGGGGCCCCATTGGTGTGCAAAAAAACAAGATTTGACCCCCTACACATGCTCAAAAACTCACCAAAATTGGCACACATGTCAAGACTGGCGAAAAATTTGATAAAATGAAAAAATGAACCCCAAAAGTGCCAAAATGAGCTCTCTAGCACCACCTAGACACACTAAAATAGCCACTGCGGCTCATAGGAATGTCGTAGAAAGATCAAACAAAACTGGCTTGTTCGTCTCATCAAGACCTACAAATCACTGACACCCCTGACCTAAATCCAACAGGAAGTGAGCTAGTGCCTCTGAAAGTAACGAGCAAATGTGGAGATATTGTAAGCTGTGAGCTAGACATCTTAAACTTGTGACCAAGATTGCATTTTTGACTCCACAAACATAAAAACTATATGGCTGTGTTCGGGACAAGTTTATCTCTCTGCTGGTATGCTCAGATTGACGACTGGACCCACGGTTTGGGAATTCAAGGGAGGAGTTTGACACATTTTAAAGCCATCTCCATCTGCCTGCTGTCACACAGCTTTTCTCTCCCTCTGCTGCATGCAAGTCATTAATCGCCATGACAACGCATTCACTCTGACACACACAGCCCTGTGCGTGACTCACAATGTTTAAAGGACAGCTTAAAGGTTCATTCCCACTGCCGCGATGCGGAAATGCGGCACAGATTTCCGAAATATTCGCGCAGCACTTTTCCGCATTTAAACCATACACACAGGCGCGGTACGGACGCGTTGCGGAATTTCGCGTTGTTGTGTTCCTGCTTGCTTTTTGTAAACTTGTCTTCATTGGTAGCCCTGAAATGTATCAGGGCTCGTGTTTTGTGTGGTGGCCCTGAAATGTGACAGAGATAACAATACTTTCTTTTATTTTATTTTTTTTTGGGCTACCTGTCAGATATTCGTTAAGTTATAAGTTTAGTTTCATGCAGTATTGCAAGTATTATCACAATGAATACCCAATCTGGTGACTTTCATCCACGTTAATGTTTCACTTTTTGGGTTATAAGTTGATATTCAACCGAATAACCTGTACCACAACAACCGACGTAACTTATTCAGCGTAAAGTCACCAGATAATACAATTAGGGGTGTCAAATTATCGCGTTAATTGCGAAAAATTAATTACAGCCATATTTAATGCGCTATGTTTTTTGATCACGTTAATCTCATTTTTAATCTCTAACTTTACTGTTTCTGTATGCCACAGAGTTGCCTTTTATAAAATCTGTCTGTAGGCGTACGATTGGGCTTCTTTGTGCTTGAGTTGTGGGAGAGCTGCAGCGCTACAGAGCAGCACTGATGGCTGTCCTCTGCAGTGGTGGTCTGCTCACTCAGGACCCTATGAAAAGCTGTCTGCCCTAGCACGTAAGTATCTGACCTCCCCGGCAACCTCCGTGTTATTTTCGAGACAATCAGGGCAGGATTCAGGATTCAGGATTCAGGACAACTGCTTGGATTTCGGGACTGTGCCTAGTCCAATCCTGCCCTGACTGTCCCGAAAATTACACTAGAGCAGAGTCTGGAGTAGTTATTGCCCTATAAAACATTAAAACTGATCATGGTGGTTGAGTTGTCATGCAGCTCCCACCGGCTGCACATTGGCTGCAGCAGTTCCTACATGAATTATGGTTGTTGTAGTTTGAAGAAGAGAAGACAGCGCAAATTGCAGCTGCAAGGACAGGGAAAGCGCAGGCAGCCACGAGAAGGAATGATTTGCACGTTGCAGTGCAGCCTCTTGTTCTAACTGTTCAAAACTGTTCTATAAACTGATACAGCTGTAACGAATGTACCAGGTGTCTTTTATTTTGTTAGCTTTTATTTCTTATTAAGTTTAAAGGACAAGTCAGGGTTCAACGCTAAGGTTTTTTTTCACTTGCCCGTTCGGGCAAGTTGGTCAGAGATCTGCTTGCCCGAAGTCAGTTTTTACTTGCCCTATAAAAACTGTTTAATTTAAACAGCTATTAACAAAGACTGCAGTTATTTTTATGTTATGTAATCTTTATTCACACTGTATTTATTAATTAAAACAACATATGTCATGTATTGTAGCTTAATTCCTACACAAAAATGACAGTGTAAGGGCTTAAAGTGAAAAATTTGTCAATCATTCTCCGTCTATAATTTTGCGCCCATGCACACCTCAGTTTATTTTTCACCCCTCTCTCCACTTCTGCTGTATTAACACCGGGTTTAATATATTTTGCTTCCATCTCTCTGCCCTGCTCTACTCTACTTCAACGCTAGCTTAGCTCTCTCTCTACTCTACCAGTAGACTACCACATCCACCTGTTGCACAAAACGCACACAACAGTGTTTCCCCTAGGCTGGAGTTGTAGCAGCGGAGGTGAAGCACACGCATGAAAAATAATTTTCACATGTGTGAAACTTTTTTGTATCCTTCCAAAGCACAGCCTGCTGGGATGTTTCTATGTATCTACTGGCACCAGAAGGGCTCTTTAGGACTAAGTACATACAGTACATGTGTGCACAGTAATGAGCAGGTGAAATGCCTGTCTAGCTTACATATGAGGTTTCTCAAGATTTAGGAACATACAATTGTAGTGAATATAATAAAAGTAAAAAGTCACTTGACATGTTGCTGTTTTGTGCTATGACCTATTTAAGTGCTGGAAGTTGTTATTTACGTGACAACGCCTGAACGCAACACAAGCTCAGCATGAGTGCCGTGCTACGCTGCTCTGCGAGCAGCTGTTTGTCTGTACATAACAGCAGTCTGTTGATGGTTATTTAGGCTACACACTGTCCATAACAATAACTTTGTCAGCTGACAAACTGCACCGGGCTCGGGGTCAGGTTTGGTCAGGAAAATGCGGTCCAAGCCGTTCTAGCGTGCTCACCTGTGTGTGTGGCGGAACTCCGCCGTGCGCGATACAGAGAGCAGAGAAGAATTGTTAACGCGTGACCATGTAGAGACAGAAATGACACAATGACATAACACCATAAATAGTAGCCTATATTGTTATGTTATTATATGAAGCGTCCGTTGTGCAAAATAATATCAATGGGGGCTGTGGGCAGGACATTGGTACACAGCTGTGCCTGTGACTTCAGGCAGAGAGACCGCTGCATCAGAGCAGAAGGAGCACGTTTTAAAATACTTTTATTTTATCAATTACTTATTAACTTTTACTATTTTTAGCAACTTGCCCAATTGGGCAAGTGAGTTGTTAGTTTACATGCCCGACCTTGAGTTTTACTTGCCCCGGGCAATCGGGCAATCCTTATTGTTGAGCCCTGCAAGTGCACTTACATTGATCACTTCCATGAAATAAAACGAGAAATTGGAAAAGAGGAAAATAATTTAGAAAATTGTTAAAATAAAAATAGGGAACTGATCACAGATGTATTGTGTCTGTGTTTTTACATCTATTGTTGCATTAATCTGCAGCTATGCTTTTAATGAAGCTGACATGTCATGACAGTCAAGCACCCCCCTGGTGGTCGAGACTGAAGGTTGCAGCACTCTTTATTGGGACTAATCTCAAAAACAATAGAATGTAATGGCTAGGTGTACTGCATCTGTATTCAAGTGTGTTATTGTTGAAAACAATAAAAATGACATTATAAAACCACTTTTTGTTATATATATCAATCTTTTGATCATCTGCCACAATAATGTACTGAATTTAAATGAAAATACCTCAAGTTGAGGGCTTTTCTCAGCAATTTTGAGATGAGATTAAAAAAGAGATTAAATAGATAAATTAATTACAGATCATAATTAATTAATCTCTCCATTTTTTTAATCTCTTGACAGCACTAAATCCAATCACTAATGTTAACCTGCAGCTGTAAAGTTACCAGCTGCAGACTCTTGGGCTACAGGAGATGGCACTGTCCGGTCATCACAAAAATGTTGATGAAAACATTTCACATATATTAAAACAACTTAACAACTACCTTATCACTGAGAAAAATGACTTTTTGTAACTGAATGACAGCATACTCAGTTATCAGAGAACCAGGGTTACGTGCGGGGCAGCTTCGTTAGCTAGCCAAAAAAATATGTGTTACGCTACAAAGAGGTATATAGTCCATAAAATGACATTAAACTAAGATAATGCAATGGTTATCATAATTTTAAAAAAACTATTAACGAGGAAAATACTCACATTGATAACTCTGCTTCCTTACACTTGTCGCCACCATCTTGCATTGACTGAATCGTCTGTACTCGGCAGATGATACGCAAAGGATTCTGGGATAGCACTCACCACAAAGGGTGGTCCTGGAAAATCTTAAAAGTGAGGGCCATACAGCCCTTATTCTTGACCCTCAACTCAACACTCTGAGAATTGGGACAGCACTAGCACTTCGCAGGAGCGCGGATTTTTGAGACTATGGGCTCTAGTTTCCCGGAGCAGCACAGGGTGGCGCAGGGTGGCGAACCCCGCGCAGAGCTATTTTCGAGCAGCGCAACCCGAGGCGCGCTAAGTTTGGTAGTTTGGCAGACCGAGGTGCGCTGAGATGGGTGTGGTGGCGCAGCAGGGGGAGGTGTCGACAGATCCAGCTTGGCGCAGTGACAGTTTCTTGCCAAAAGGCTTTGTTGAAGGTGCTTTAAAAGCTCTCCATCTGAAACCATGTCTACTGTCAGCGCAGGGGGAGCGCAGCCGGTGTAAGCCGAAGTTTGGCTGACTGGCGGACAGTGCGCACACATTAACAATGCAATAAATACCCAAAAAAACACTATTCAATGCAACTATCTGCAATCAGCACATAAATGTATCTCTATATCGACGGTCTCGTCACATCTGATGTCAGATCAAAGGGGATTGGCACCGTTTGGCACACATAATGGAAACCCAACCTGATTTGATTAACACAGTTGCAAACTAATGAGTTCACATCCCTCTCAGCCAACCACAAACAGTCACAGCATCAGATAGGGAGTATATATTCAGCAACCGTCATCTTAGAAAAGTCAAAAGAAAAGAAACAGAGTGAGACTGCGAGAGAGAAAGAGAGAGAGCGCATGCGCACCAGAGAAACGCAACATTGATTTACAATTGTGGTGACCTCCTCCCAGGCTACCTTTGCATCATCAGCCCGTGGAGGTCTGCTCGCAGTTCCATATATTCCGACACTGTGAGCTTGGGCCTCCCGGACCAAAACATCAGTTTCCTCCTGGGAGGAGGAGTTTGGCCGTCTGACGCTGCTGCTCTCTTCTGCCATGGTGAATTGAGTAAACTCTCATTACGCCTTCACGCGGCGCATTTAAGGGTGAGGAGAGGGGCTCATTTGATTGGTGTGATGTGTGTAAAACCCACTCCATGCCTTCTCTAGGAGGGACGGAGGTGGGATAGAGGAGTAGCTGCGCCAGCGCGCACGGTGTGCCAAACTTACAAAATCCGCCTGGCCACACCCAGTTGGCGAAGCGCAGGTGCGCTGCACCTCCGCAGTGCCCGGTCTGCGAAACTAGAGCCCTGAGGGTTAAGATTGAGGTTTAAGATAGAAACTGGGATTGGGCCTTTAAAGCAGCAGATTCTTCATCTGAAACAGCATCTACACATTATATATTAGTGTTTTCCATCTCCCACATACTACTACAGCCTTTATTACTGATAATACTGTTGCTACTTTTGTGATTATGAATGTTAAATACATATTGTAACGTACTGTAATATAAAGTCCCTCTATTGCCAAAAATGACCTTGCGTACCCTTGACATTGCTTGTTTTTTCAACATTTTGACTCTTACGTATAATTCGCACTGTCTGCATTAGCTGGAGGCTGCTTGCAGCTTTATTTATCTTATTTACAAAAGAGCATGTCATTTTTGTCTCTACATGGTCGCGCGTTTACAATTCTCCTCTGCTCTCTGTATCGCGCACGGCAGAGTTCCGCCCCAATACGTGCGCGTATGCACGCACACACACACACACACACACACACACACACACAGGTGAGCACACTAGAGTGCGGCATTTTCCTGACCGAACCCAACCAGAGTCCAAAAAAATTATAACCGAGCCCAGCCAGAACCTGCAGCACGGCACAGAGTTTGTGTACAACGCCAATGGTGCGGAGCCTGTGTTGCGTTCAGGCGTTGTCACGTAAATACGTGAAATGTCAAATTTGAAGAAAATTTTGTTCTTGAGATATCATGATTACGAGAATGAGACGGATGCAAGGTCACAGTGACCTTGACCTTTGACCATCAAAATCAGTTCATCGTTGAGTTCAAGTGGATGTTTGTGACAAATAATTAAAAAATAAATACAAAAACCTCAACACATTCTTAACCTATTGTGCTCACAAGAATGAGACAGATGAGGTCACAACGACCTTGACTTTTGACCTATTATCCAAAATCTAATTAGTTCATTGTTGAGTCCAAGTGAAGAAATTTCCTTGAGGCGTTCTTGAGATATCGAGTTCACAAGGATGGGATGGAGCGGATGGATGACAACCCGAAAACATAATACCTTTGGCCACGGTTATTGCTGGCGTGGAGGCATAAAAAGGGTAAATTCAACCACTTTATTTATCATTATTTATTATCATCTATTGACATGTGTGCTCCAAGCAGCGAAAGGTAATAAACTATGTTTATGCCAGTGCTTTGATATCTGTCAGATTAAAAAAAAAGAAAAAGAAAAAAAAAAGACTGCCATACTGGCAAGCTGGCCTATACTTTTTTAATCAACAATTTGCTCACCATCTGCACTCATTTTCTCACTCCACCATGTTGTTGTGTCACATGACAATGGTGCAACCAAACAATACACCTGTTCAATGATTGGTTGTTTGTGTTTCACTCATAGCATGCTTATCAAGGGATCTGATGGGCTATGTGTATTTGATAAAGGAAGTAATAACAAAATGCTGTACTCACAGTTTGAGGCACAAGGATCTGGAGCAGTGGCAGGGTTTCCTGGACTTTGATTCACACAAAGCTCCTGCATGTCTATAGGGAGAGAACATTCTTAACTGTGTATCAAGTCCACATTAAAAAAAACTCACACTATAACACCAGTAATCATCTGCTGACATGTTAATACTCTATTGAAAATATTCTCTCCTGAAAAATCTTGGTGTGACCTGCAGGTTTACGATTTTACAATGTGTAGACCAATGTACACACATACGTAGTGCTAGATCCATCACACACTAAGTTTTCTAAGTTAGAAATGCTGGAAGGAAACTGTTGGTGTAAACCTGCCGTGAAAAACTGTTTTTGGCTTAAAAGAAATAGGATCAATGCTTTTATGTACAATTTGATGCATATGATTTAAACGACAAGCCAGAAAAGTTTCAGTTGCACTGGGAGGGGATATTTGATATCCCATTGCCATGGAGAAGTGTATGACCTAATTTATAAAGCTGTTAAAGATTCCAAATCACAATATTTTTCAATTAAAAATTCGATACAAATACTGCCAACAAGAAAAATGCTTTTTGGTTGGGTATTGAAGTGGATGGAAACTGAACTGAAGCAAATCAAAGCCATTTCATGGCAGACTGTGATATCAGCAAATATCATATCATTATCCAGAGAATTGATATAATAATGTGATGAAACTTATAATTTATACTCCTACATCCATGTACTTTGAAAACAGGTGGAATTGTTACAAAATCATGGGGAAAAAAAGTGTAGCAAATAGGTTTGGGTAAAATTCACATTTGAACGAATACTGGTACCAGTTACAGTACCTCAGCTTTGTTACTGGTACCCATTTTTGGTGATTTACTTTCTCTGTTAACAAAAATGTAATTTTTGAATGAGCTGCTGGGGTGGTGTAGTAGACTAAAACGCAATTCTGCCCCTCAGCTCTTTTCTAATCACATATAGAGCTAATCTTCTGTCTCTGTCTGTCTGTCTGCTTCTGTGACAGGGTTTTTCCTCCCACCTCCAACTCTCTTGGTGGATTTCTCTTATTTGTAACTGCAACTGCAGCATTGCACCAATGTGGTGGTGCTATCATAACAAGCACAGTGCACTGAGAAAGGCACTGCCACAATTGGCCATCTGTTTTGGAGTATCTATTGCTTTTCTTTCAACCCCTGCAAAGTTAGGCCATAGCTTCACCCAGTTCGTTGGCATACTACCTGGGTTGGTTGGGGTCCCCCACTTCACTACTGTGGTGGCCTTGGTTATAAAGAAGTAAGTGGGCTACAGCGACTGACCTTTAGCCGCACAGGATCAGTGTGGCTGGGTTGACATTTTGTGATGGTATGGGTATGTGATATGTGATGTTGGAAATTAAGTTGATTCTGAAAAGGTAGTCAAATACTGTATTTACATCTTTTTTTCTAAAGTAAAACCCTTGGCCTTTGATCACTGTGTCTCAGAAACATAAGTGTGTATTTGATAAAAAAATATGATTTGGAATGACCATATGAATGGAGAAGTAAATCATCTTGCAAGAGTGGTTTGTGAAGTTTATATGGACATTATGAATGCTTTTTCCACCATTAAAACTTGTCATTATTGGAATCTACTTTAACTGTCATATATCAAGGCTGATCAAATGCTTGGCAATGCTTGAGCCACTACACGTATAGATTTTTAGTGTTGAAAGCAACAATTTTGGCTTCAGCTCCACAGTTCTTACCCTACTGGAGGGGCTTTAGGCTGCATGTTGGTTGTCTGATCTCTGCACTCATACAGGGGACAAGCTGTCTGCAGGTACTGGGGAAGCTATGCATGTATAGATGACTGAATACATGACTAAAATCCATTAATCAATCAATCAATCAATCAACAAATCAGTCACTCAGTCATGGTAAATGTCCCACAGAGAAAGTTAGTTTCTGGGACGTGATGGAATAAACTCTGATCTCCTACCTGGCTGGAAGTCCCCAACACACCTACATCTGGTAAACACAAAGGAAAAGGGGATTACTGCAGAACCCCTATTTCAATTAACAGATGCAAAAACCTTACATAGGGGTACAATTTCAGTGAGCAATTTATGGGCTTCAGCGGTGCCGTCATAACATGTCAATATAACGGAACTTCAGCTATCTGTGTATGATATGCATTACACACTTCTCATACTCATGAACAGTAGAGCTGCAATGATTAATCCATTAATTGTCAACTACAAAATTAATCACCAACTATACTGCTACTGTCATTTTCTCACCTTTTAAAGGACAAAAAAAAATCAACATGTAATCAACAATTTAAATAATAATTAGTTGTAGTTGCAGCCTTAATAAACAATACCCTGATGCTACACAGTCTAATTCTACTAACATCCCAGTTTCTTTTTGCAGGCCAAGCTAAGTATATAAATGCATTCCACATCTTCCTCTACTCACTTGTGACAGTTTAATCTCAGGTAGGAATTTCTCCTCTGTGGTGTTTCCGTTAAATTGGAGGACCTTCGTTCTTCTGTTACACGCTCACTGATGTATCTGACTTAATTTAATAAACTAAATAAAACAAAAATGATCCTGTAACCTACTGAAACTGTTCCTCACCTTCCCCTTGAGTTGGGCCATCTTCTCTTTGTGCTGGTTTAGATGTCAGGGTAAGGAACACAGGTCCTGGCTCACAGGGGTTTACCAGCACCACCTGTCCATCTCCACTCACATTACATACCACCTACACAGTTATGGGAAGACAACAGAGTGCTCCTGGAATTACGTTTTTTTTTTAAGTTAGCTCTGTCCTGGTTTCCTTGTCACAAAGCCTATGGGACTTTTACCATTGGATTATTGCTGAAAATTAGGGATGCATGATATTGGATATTTTGCCGATATCCGATATGCCGATATGTAACACTGAATTTGACCGATACCGAATACCGATATCAATATATCCACTATTTTTCGCACCCAATTTTAGTGATCATCAAGCCTCTTCTGTTGTGAAATTAACATATTATGCATGCATACTCTTATCATGATGGCCCACCAGCAGATGGAGACATGAAATCGAATGCTTTTCAGTGTATGTAATATTAATTCATCGTGCAAAATAAGAAAAAGAATGTTGTCCGATTGCGATACATTTTAAAGCAAATATTGGCTGATACCAATGATATGCCAACATTATTGTGCATACCTACTAAAAATAAGCTCTGAGGCAAACAAATGATTATGATATTTACACGTTTTGTTCAGCCTGATAGGCAATTTTCACAAAAGAACACAACTTTTATGATTTTTGAAGCCTAAATGCAATCACCGGAAGTAAAAAGCCAAAATTAGGCTACTATGGTCCCATGACCTAACATCACCACCAAGACAAGACTGTAAAGCTGTGTTCGGTGTGGCTTGGCATGATGACGTTCTGTAGTCTTATTTCGCTACTTGTTTGCAACCGCTTTTAAGATATATAGAAGCTTCAAAGTTCACAAGTGGGTTATTTACTGACATATTTTATGTCGTTGAACAAAATGCGAAACCCATTGACTTTGAGATGAGGGAACCGTAAATGGTAAAATGCTAAGTCATTTCCAGATTTTATGGCTCATTCCTGGCTGACTTTATTGGTTAATTGCAGATTAGCGGACGACTTAATCTAAAAATCAATCAGCAGCTATTTTGATAACAGATTAACTGTTGAAGTGAAATCAAGCAGAAATACCAAACATTCCCAGGAACCAGGTGTTTAAATGTGAGAATGTGAAGTTTTTCTCTATCTTATGTATAATAGAAAACTGACTGTCTTTGGGTTTTGGAGTGTAGGTTGGATAAAATGAGACATTGGAAAAGGTCACCTTGGACATTGGGAAATTGTGACAGACTTTTTGTACTCCTGACATTTTATGGTTTAAACAATCAATTGAGAAAATAATCAGCAAATTGACTGAAAATGAGAATAACTGTTAGTTTCAGTATTTATATTTATTTTAAAAGTGGGACAGTGCCTCTGTCAGCTGACGACAGGAAAATCTGCTAGATATGTTGGGGGGATCCAAGGGCAGTTATTGTGAAACAGTAAAAACTTATGTCATATTTTTTGCTGGACAGTGACCAGTTGCTTAGCCTGGTAAAAAGCATCTGTATGTTTTCACTGTGATTTATAAACTATAGTCTAATATAGGGCTGGATAATATGGCTAAAAATTAGGGCTGTAGTCTCCTGGTTGACTAGTCAATTATTTGGTCGCTACGCTCTCATCTGACCAAAATCTCATTAGTCGAATAATCGCCGTGTTACTTTCATAAGGAGAAAAGTGCTACATCAACAACTTTCCAGGATTAATCCATTATTTCCTGCGGCGGGGCGACAGGCTAAGTTACCTGTGAAAATGGGGGTGTTTTCAAAACATCCCCGTTGTTGACAGAAAGTTGGACTCACCCACCCTCACGCTCAGCGTCGCGCTGACGCAGATCTCTCTATTTCTGTATACTGAAACCATTTTCCTCAGTGGAAACAAAGCTTGTATTTACTTGTATTTCACAGATAAGAAACAATAAATTGTGGAGACAGTAAAGCCTCAACTAAAATAGCATTTTAAGTCTTGTGTGTGATCTATCCTTCAGGGATTTATACTTAAGGATTTATCCTGGCTTCATATGAGCAGAGGAAATCTCCGCTCGTTGCTAGGCTAATGTATACAATGTAAAATGCCATAGACTGGTGCTTATAACGTTAGCATGTTGTATTTGCTTGGAAAACGTGTTTAGAACTAGACAGCTGTTTTGTCGTGAATGTCGTGAGTTGTAATGGAGCCAAATTATGTGCCGTTACCTTTTTTACATGTTGCTGTTGTCCCTGGCTTTATATGAGAAGTGGAAAAGATCGCTAGACGCTAGGCTAATTTATACAATGTAAAACACCATAGACTTCAGCTAATAACGTTAGCATGTTGTAACGGTGGGGGAAATGTGTCCAGATAGTGTTTGTCAGTTCTGCGATTTATAGTGAAGCCAGTTTGTGTACTTGTGTTTGAAATTGTCTCTATTAAGCCATGTTTAATGTGT